CACGTCTCCTTTTGAGCTCGTCTGCTTTTCATGATCAAAGAGAGTCATACACCCCAATATGTTTTCTTCTTTGCCCTGGTGATCAGGAAGCTCAGAAGAACACAAGGTGTGTTCAACTACCGAAACTCTCAGCAACCAGAATGTCTTAATCCATTCACATCACTTTCTACCTTTTTATCTTGGCTCCTACCTTTGTCTTGTTTAGTGGCTTCCGTTCTTATATATCTGTGCATTTTTTTAAGTTGTCTCAAAACTTCCAAGTAGGCAGGAATAACATACAATGTGCATGTGTGTGTGTATTTGTGTATATATTTTTTTCAAACACATACACACATATACCCAGTACTGAAAGCCTCTCTATCTGTTTTTCCCAGATGCCTTCTGCCACGCCACTCTCACAGCTCCCGTGCCCTCTCCGGTAATCTATTCTTTCATGCCCCGAATCAGGGCATCCAGTTCCTCTATCATTTGTGAACCCCAGGAAACTTCTCACCCGAAAGCACAAGTTAGCAGTGTAAACATGAGTGATATTATAGAAGAGTCTTAGGAAACACATTTCTGTTCTTTTCTCTAAATAACTGCCTTGAGTTTCCTTTAATACTTTAAACCAGGGGTCGGCAAACTTTTCCAGTTAAGGGCTAAACAGTAATATTTTAGACATTGTGGGCTGAGAGGTCTCTGTCACAGCTACCAAAGTCTGCCACTGTAATGCAAATGAAGCCAGAGAGTAAGCAGAAGTGAATGGGCATGGCCGTGTTTCAATAAAACTTTACTTATAAAAATAGGTGACAGGCCAGATGGGGCCCATAACTTGGTTGACCTTGCTTTAAACCCTCCCCACACAGTATCTGTCAGCACTGGATCCTCTCAGTGAAGTGTCCCTATGGACAACTCCAATTCCAATCTATCCAGTTAGCCCCAGCAAAACAGAGGGAGCCCTCCAGGTAATGGGACAGGACCCCCACCCCCAAACCTCTGGCAAGGAGGAAGTTTCATTGCTCTTTTTATTGCTTGAAAATACTCTTTGCTCCTTTTATCACATACACCAATAGTTTTTAAAAATATTTCTTTCTACCCCATATGGTGATCAACATGAGAAAACTTTACATATTACAAACATATCTCTATCTGCATAAGCAATAGTATTTTTACAGCCTATAGCTGTATTTGAGGTTAGAAAGAAGGCTCAATCAAGAGACAGAAAAATGAGCCTTCATGCCAACATTTCTAGCTACATGACCCTGGACACTATCTTTCTATGCCTCAGTTTTCTCATCTGCACAATGGGGGTAAGCATTTACCTGCCCAAAGGCCAGAGTCTGGACCAGATGTTCTTTCTGGAAGTTAGGTTATTTCCCTAAACCAATGATTTCCAAATGGTTTCAGGAATCAGAATTCCCTGGGGTGCTTATTAAAACACAGATTGCTGGACCCCAGCCTGAGTTTCTGTTTTCAGTAGGTCTTGCGGGGGGGCCCGGTGGGGATGCTGAGGATTAACAGTGTCACCAAGTTCTGCTACTGCTGGTCCAGCAACCGCACTTTGGGAAGCACTTGTCTGCCTGCATGTTACAGATCTCATAGTCCCTTATATGGGGAAGCCGTGGTGGTGGGGAGGGGGTCCCACAGCTGGTTCCGCTTCTGTTTTTCAAAATGGGGTTTCTTCTTAAAGGGATGATAGATTAGTTCTGTTTGTCCACTGAGTCTCAGACACTGCAGCCACACCCCAGCAACTAATTAGAAGCTGACAGGAGGCTGCTGGTGACGCCCATGGGGCCAAGCTGGAACGTAAAGGCCAATAGGGGGCCAGGAGGACAGGGAAATGGGGGACCATTGAGAAGCGAGACAAATATGCCATCACTCAATTCCTTTGTTTAAGCCTATCTTCTAGAACTTTCGCTTTCCATAAACACAAAGTCAACACAAGCATTGGCTGAGAGTTGATCCTGTGGAGGCCCAGCCCCCAGTAATGTAGGGTGGGAGGCAAGGACTCGGCGGGAGGCTGGAAAAGTGCGACCACCCTCAGGAACTCTCCATCTTATGGGGAGGTGTGTGAGCACAGGGGACTTTTAAGCTTGTTTCCACCCTTCCCCATGTGAACTCTCTCAAGCTATTTCTATTTTTTGTGTCTCAGTTTCCTGATTTGAGGAATGTGGGTTTTGAGCTAAGTCACAAGTTTTCAAATTTTGTTTCATCTTGGAGAGGTCCCAGGCCATTAAAAGGTAAATGTGTAGGCAGGACTCAGCCATTCTCTTTGTCCTGCCTCCACTCAGACCGAGAAGCTCCGCTTTCTTACATTTTTACACTTACTGTATAGTTTTGCTTCCAGGAAGGATTTGACAATCACTCAACAAGAAACCCTGTCAAAGCTTTTTCCATTTGGACATTGGGTGGCTGGATCAGGGGGAGAAAGAGGCTAGTTAGCTCTAGGAGTGGGGCTGCTAGGTTGGATGGTCCAGATTCAGAAGCAGCTTGACAGCAGAGAGTTTAGGCCTACGGGAATGGGAATGGGGAGCCACTGAAAGTTTGAGTGTGGGGGAGTGCCACAGGGAGAGGAGGGGAACAGGGCCCACAAGCTAGGCGAGAGGCAAACTGATCTGGAAATCTCAACTGCTCAGAATGTTCTGAGTAAAAACAAGGGGTGATTTTTCCCCCTTGTCAGCCTTCCTTCCCAGGACATTGTACTGTATGCAAAACGTATAACTGTAAGACAAACATTTTTTTCCACTGCCCTTCTCAGCCCCACGGGTCTTCAGGAAGACCTGCACTTGAAGCAAAGCCTTTTTATTTTTCAACACCCACAGCTTCCATTCCACAATCAGAAGTTTTCCACTTTCATCAAAGAGACCAAAGAAAGAAGCAGAGGGAGCAGCCTGTTCTCAGCAGCTCTGGGCAGATGACAGAGCCCCAAGCTACCCACTCACTGCCCGAGCCACAACAGGACACAGCCTTCTCCCCATATCAGTGAGGCACATGCCCCAAAAACCGCTGGCTTGCTTCATTCCCACCTCAATTACCAGATCAAATGAATGTGTGCACCCACTTCTTCCAAAACCAAGCCCGGCTTGGGTCAAGGAGGCCTGGCTTCCTTGACTGTGAAATGGGTATACTTGTTACCACTCTATTTAGCCCAAGAAAACAATTTACCTCTTGATAGCTCTTCCATCTCCAGGATCTATGATTTTATGGATTCACTGGGAAGGAACATCCAGACCACTTCCTAGAGTCTGACCCACCTCGGTTGATACTCAGCAGTTTGGGATCTCCGCAAAGGGGGCAGTGGTAATAATCCAACCTTGGCTTTGGACACAGGACATTTCCTTAGGGGCATCCAGGACTTCTGCTGGCTCTCAGATATACACTGCAGCCAAAAAGTGAGCATACAGTGGGGTGGGGTGTGCTACAAAGATTTGGGTACTTCCAAATGAAGTTTTCAAAGAGCTACATCCGGAGGCACCAGCTATGCAATGATTCACATTGTAAATGGTATTTTGAAATGGAGATTATTCGTAACCACAGATGTGACCAGCTCTGTCTCCCAGGGAATCGTCTATTATATCTATCTAAATTCCAGGCTCTGCCCAAGGGACCGCTTAGGGTGTTTAACCGGAATGGTCCTGCACTACCGCCAAGTCTATTCCCATTCATGAAGTGCTCTTGCATCACTATCATTTAATCTTCATGGTGGCTGTCAAGGCAGAAAGAGAAAAGGAGGGGCAGAAAGGATTTGTCCCAGGACTCATGGCCATTAAGGGGTAGGCTGAGACCGGACCTCAGGCTTTCAGCGTTCACTGCATCCATGAACAACATGGCTTTGAACTCCATGAGTCCACTTAAAAGCAGATTTTTTTCTATAAATACTATACAGTATTGTGAATGTATTTCTCTTCCTTATGATTTTCTTAATAACATTTTCTTTTCTGCAGCTTACTTTATTGTAAGAATACAGTCTATAATACCTATAACCTAGAAAAGCAGTGCTAATCAACAGCTTATGTTGTCAGTAAAGCTTCCAGCCAACTGTAAGCTATTCGCAGTAAAGTTTTTGGGGAGTCAGAGTTGTCTGTGGATTTTCAGCTGCACCAGGGATGCGTGCCTGTAGCTCCTGCATTGTTCAAGGGTCAACTGTATTTCATTGATCAATATTTGTGACTTTGGTTGAGACAGTTTTATTCTCTCTGATCCTCAATTTTCCCAAATGTGAAATATAAATAGTACTGTCTCAGAGGGCTGAGGCGAGGGGGAAGTGAGGCAATGTGTAAAGCTCCTAGCACAGTGCCTGACAAGCAGAGGTTCAACTGCAGAGGTGCATGAATTGTGCATGCACCACAATTCACAAATACGCAGTAAGCACACACACACGCCACATACACATACCACTCACCTGCCAGGCACAGCCAGCATGGGCACATGCCACGCAGAACGCCCCCCCTCGCCCCGCCCCACGTTGTGCACTGTACCACTTCCCCACCCCACCCCCACTGCCCGTCCCTTCCCCTTTTCGTGAGTTTTATGGCAGGCCCAAGTTTATCTGCAAGTTTAACAGATCCCAATGTACTCTGTGGGAATTTTTTGTTCAAAAGAGCAGTGTTTCTGGGTCCAGCTCACCCACAGTATCTTGGAGCCTGTCCCCAAATTTCATACTGCCGCGAACTTATCCCCCTTTGAACAAATCACCACACTTGTGTGCTTTTCCTTCCCAGATGTCTGGTAGCATTTCCAGTTTTCAATAGATGTCAATATCAGCCTGAATCCTTTTGAGTCACTCCACAGCAGTCTAAGGAATCCAGCCTCCCGGAAGCCCCACAAAGACGTTTTCTGACGAGGTCTTCCGAGACACAGGCCTGCTTAGGAGAATGTGCAGCTTCTAGAGCAGGAAGGCTTTTTGTGGCTGAATCTAAACAAAACAGAAGTTGCTCTGTGCGCGCACACACACACACACACACCCCAGAACAGGGAAACCGTCATTTTCCTACTCGCCCTCTGAATTCAACCACCTTCGCTGTTGCTAGTTTCTCTGCACTCAGATTAATCCCTGGCGATGAAAAATGAGCCTCTCCCCCACCCTTGCTGCCGCCTTTCGCCTTACGCCCCCAGAGAAGAGTTTCTTCGTGTGGCAGCCGGTGAAGGTTTTTTTCCAAGTCACATGATCCAGGATGCAGGGGGAGAATCCTTCTTGGAACAGAGATGGGCCCAGAACCGAATCAGATGAGGAGAGATAAGGTGTGATGTGGGGAAGACTATATAAGAATGGACCCAGGGCTGCAGCAAACACCCAACCGAGTGGCCCCTTCTCAGGACGCCATGCATGTGCCAGCTGGCTCCGTGGCCAGCCACTTGGGAACCACCAGCCGCAGTTACTTCTGTTTCACCACGGCCACGTTGGCTCTGTGTCTCATCTTTGCTGTGGCAACCATCATGGTGTTGGTAGTTCAGAAGACGGTAAGTGGGTGTCTGTTTCTCGCCTTTCCTTTCTGATTTATATTCCGTTCTCCCCAGAGAGACAGCGTTGGGAATCAACTAATAAATCAGTGGAGAGGAGGGGAAAGGGCATATATCATGCAGAGAAAGGGAGAAAATAAATAGGAACTTAACTCTGAAATAATTTGGCTTCTGGAGAGAAAAGCTTGTTGAGCCATCATCTCAAAACTTTCCAGACTCACATGAGCCATAGGAAAGCAGACAGCTATTAACCATGAGAAACTAACATCTCAGTCTCACTGAGCCAGAGATTTGTCTTAAGGAGGGAAGCAATAAGGAAACTTGAGAACAGATTTTCACAACCTGTCTTCAAAACCTTCAGACCAGGTTCCAAGGTTCTGTATTCTCAGTCCAAATGTTCCTGAGATTTCTGAGGCCTCACCCATTGCCAAGAGCCAGTTGCAGAGGCCCAGGTCTTCAGGGGAAAGGGGCAGGAGAGAAAACCAGGGCTCCCCAGACCCTGGGCATTTCAGTGTTAAAACCCACAAGACAAATTGAAAGCTACCTCCCCAGCCACTGCTTTGAAGAGCGTAGGGGTGTCACAAGAAACAGAGCACAGAGGCAGAACACAGCAACATTTTTAACACCTGTTCCCTTTGAGGCCGCTCCAAACACCAAAACTACGGGCCACTATGGGTTCACACTGTAGACTCAGACCGTCGCAGGAAATCTACTTTGTTTGAAGTAAATGATAAGATTTGTTGCAAAAATCAAATTGATGAAGGAGGATGCCTCTTTGTATTTTAGGAAATAGGTGTTTATAGAGAATCGACTCAATATGTATTTTATGGAAAAGATTGTATTGATACTATATAATGCTCGTGAATTATTAAACGACATGATTAATTAAGTAATTATTAATATTAAGTAAATTAATTATTTAATGAAGTTTGTTATTCATTTTGATAATTCATACACTGTACCCCCGACCCCCGCCTAAGTGAGAGCATTTCTGTTTATTCCTTCCTACCTCCCATTTTTCATGGTATTACAATCCCGCAGAATTTGTTCTGGTTTTTCTTCTGCTGTCTTAGGATGGATGCTCTGTCACTTATAGGTTGGTAAAAAGAACTAGGCTTTAGAAGGCTTTGGTATCTGTTTCTCGAGTGTCATCAAGCTTTGAAATTTACAGGCAGCTTTGAGGCCCACATGTCCATAAACATGAAAGATCACAGCATTGCTAACATTTGATTTATATAGTAGAATTTATGACCCTCATCATTTAATGGGCTCATCTACATCTTCTAAGAATAATACTCCTGAAAACATTCTAGGGCACTTTCTTTTCTGTAAAGTCTCTGTAATTTTTGTAATTCTAATTTGAAGGAAACCAAAGCTGTGTCATTCTATAGCACAGGCCAAAAAAAAAGAAATTGAAGTGGCTTTAAGAAGCTCTTAAGTTATAAGGTTGCAGCCAGAACTGCAAAGGAAGAAAGATGGGTGATGGGGTGGGGAGGGTAGACACATAAAGCTAGAGAGAGTAGGGTAGCACTACCAGGGTAGTCCCTATGCAAATCTCACTTTCACTGAATGGATCTTTTCCATGAAAGAACTGGAGTGGATCTTTCTGCTTTGTGTTTATAAATGTGGAAAATGAGGAACAGAAAGGGGATAGAGCTTGAACTAAATCATCCTGAGAAAGCGGTAGAGTCATGACTGCTTGGTTCGTTAACGAGCAAAGCATTCCCTTTGCCTTAGAAGCCTTAGAAGCACTAAGAAGCTTTGTCTTCTTGTGCATCCATTTCCTTGACTTGCCCATCATGTCTGGGTATGAAGAGATTCACTTCACAAGCTGATTGTATGGTTTGGTGTGCTGTGATTCCTTAGCCTGAGAAATACTAGTTACTTGCTTAAAAGCTAAGGCCTGTGACATTAAGTGTTAAGTGTTTTACACATATCATGTCCAACAAATTAGTCAGATAGTCACTGTCGTGAGAGCTAACAAGAACTTGAGTAATCAAGGAAGGCTTCCTGCAGGAAGAAAGAATATGGGCTGACTTCAGGACAGGTAGAACTTAGACAACTGAAGGGACCCCAACAGGACCCCTGGTAAAGAAGTCAATGGGAGAGACACAAGGAACTTAAATGCACATTCCAATTATTAAAACATGGGATGAACTGATGGCTACATAGCACTCTAGGCATGAGTTTGGATGGGGGTTGCGGTGGAGAGCCGAGAGAATGCTTTCACTGGCCTCAGGAGTCCCAGTTCTAGGTAAGAAGGCACATGTACAGACAAAACTTGAAACATAAATGGCAAGACATTTAGTAAGTGATGGTGGGTAAGCCCGTGGGGCTACCATGAGACTGTAAGTTAAGGAGACAGAGTATTTTCCCAGGTTTACGAAAAACTCCAAGATACTGGAGTCTCCTATTTGCTGAACAGATGTATACCACTCAAAACAGGCGGCGAGGAGGAGTCAGAGGAGAGGGCACCCCTGGCCAGGGGAATATGGAGAAGAGAAGATGCAGGGATCGTAGGAAAATCAACAAAGACTGCCTGGAGATTTGGCCTGAAGGTCAAACAACTCCAAGGTCAAACTCCTTAGGAGAGACAAAGAAGGACTTCGGGTTTCAATCTCAAATATTTATTGAGCATCTACTATGTGCAGGACTTTGTTCTAAGCAGTGGGGATATAGCCTTAAACAAAGTCAGCAAAATTCCCACTCTTGTGCTGCTGATGGAACTTAGTGTCTAGTGATTTCTTTAAAGACTGTGGTGCTTATATTTTGTATTATTAACATTGAAATCAGTAGGTTTACTGTAAATTACTCAGATGGTTGAAGAAAAGTAAACAGTAAACAAAGGAAAAGAAAGTGTGAAAACGTCTCATACCCTCCCCATTTAACCACCAATCTCTCTTCCCTGGGATAACCACCATTAACAGATTCTTCTGTATCCTTCCAAAAATCTGTGAAACTACAAATATGTAGTGCACACATGTCATTTGTCTTAGAGATCTTTTCATGTCAATGCGTGGAAGTTCATCCCATTCTTTTGAATTTCTTTATCTTCTGTTATATGCATATTACAATAACACAATATTCTACTATACTACTATTTCACAATTTATTTTACCTGTGCCTCATGCAGGACATTTGTGGTTTTCTCTAGAAGTTTTGCCTGCTGTGCACATCTGCAAGTATATCTGCGGGATATATTCCTAGTGGTGGGAATAGAATGTATAATTGCACTTAAGTAAATATTGTCAATCAGCATCCAAAAAGATTGTGGCAATAGACTCTTGAGGAACTCAAAGTCCTATCAACAAAGAGACACCTCTTCACATCCATGCAGAAGGAAAGATACTTGATTTATTTTTGAATAAGCACAACAGAGGACACATGTATACATCAGGATGAAATTTACACAATTTATATAGCAAAACAAAGGCAAAGCAATAACATTTCCCTTATCTCCTCCGGAGACAAAAAAAGAAATCATGTAAGGAGATACGCTGCAAGCTTGACACCAGAAGTGTTTTATTTTTATTCCAAAATATTAGAGCAAAGGCTCAGAGTCATTAGCTTTTCAAGGAGACCCTTTCTAGACAGAAGGGAAAGCAGCTGCCTACTTTCCCTCTATAAGAAAGAAAATTTCTTAAACATTTTTTTCCTTGCAGTGCCACTCTATCTCCCCACCAAGAGCGTAGCTGAGCACCTGTTTGGAGAACAGTAATTGCAGGTGGTGGTATGATTTTTCTGGTTTGCTTTTAAGTGCAGATAAAATATAGGGGAGAGTTGAGCTGCCCTGTGATGCTTCCTTCTACCCAAGTTATTCTCTCCAATGCATTCGATTTATCAATCCAAAAAATCCACTGATAATCATCTTAGAGGTAAGCCCTGTGCTGGGCTGGGCTGGGAAGACCCAGTAGGCTTGTAGGAAAATCAACAAAGATTGCCTGAGCAGGATTTCTGTTTTCTGGTAGTTCTCTAACTTGGGGAGATGAGGCCCCAACTCCCTGAGATTGTGCTTGGGGCAGAATGGCACATACTGCCATAGACCAGAGGAGAGGAAGACAATTTCTGCTTGGAATGGAGTTGGTGGGGGCTGCATGTTGCAGAAGAGCTAGAATGGAACCCGAGCCACAAATTAGAAGGATCATATCTCATGCCCAAAGCTTTATTTTGAGAAATTTCAAACCTACAGAAAAGTAGAATGATAAATGCCCATATAACCTTTCACCTAAATCCACCAAGTGTTAACGTTTTGCCTATTTGTGCTCTTTCTTTATATATATAAAAGTAAGCTGCCAGCAGCGTGACCTTCCACCTGCATGTTTCACCACCATCTCCCATATAACAGTAATGACACTGTCATAGCCGAAAGTTCATGTGAATTCAATAATACCATCTAATGATAAAATAAGGCCCATACTTCAATATTCCCATTTGTCCAAAAATATCTGCTAATCTGTTGTGCTTTGGTTTGTCACGGGATCCAGAATCCACTCAGGTCACACCCCGATTTGGTTCTGTCTACTTTAATCTAGGCTATTACTTCTTTCAACACCCAGGGCGGTCTTGGCAACTAGCTAGGAAGGCAGAATCTCAGGCCCCATTCTAGACCCACTGAATCAAAATCTGCATTTTAACAGGTTTCCCAGGTGATCGGTAAACACACTGAAGTTTGAGAAGCAATAATGAGCCATCTCCCCTGCCCTTTGTTGTTTGGTTTCCATGGTAATTCTCCTAAGGGTTCAGGGCAGCTCTGCTGTAGTATATAACTCACGTGCTGGATTCGGCTTAGTGTTCACTCGTGATCATATTCAGATGAAACTTTTGTGGCAAGCAGAATACATAGGTAATGTCAGGTTGGCCCATTGCTGGGGAGATGTTGAGTCACCCGATTCAGGTGGTGGCCACCGGCTCTCTCTTCCATGAAAACACTTTTTCTCTCTTATTAGTAAGTCGTCTATGGGGTAATACTCTGAAAATACATGCATGTCCTTCCCCCCTGGTCTTGGCTTCGTTCCTTGATGGTCCTTGTCTGAGTCAGCTGACATGCTGAGGGTGGAAAAATGATGCTTACCTAATTCTACCGTTCCTTCCACATTCGTTAACTGGCTTTCTTCAGCGGAGAAGAGCTCCCCGTTGGAAGGAAGGCGGTGGGCAGTGGTGGGCAGGGCATGCCAGGCGAGGTAAAAGAGGGAGTAGAGCACAGCACAGAGGAAGGCCAGTCCAGGTGTGAGAGAGAACAGGCGAGGCCGGGACAGAGGTCAGCCCAGACTCCACAGGGAGCAGCAGGAAGGGTGAGGAGGCAAGAAGTATCCGTAGGGGAAGGTGAGAGGGTAGAAGGCCACCCCGTAGGCTGACTGGGAGGGAGAGTTCCTCAGCGCATACACGAGCCCAGCTGCACACTCAGCCTCCTGTAGCCGCTCCCCGTTCCCAGGTGTTCTGACTGCTTGTTGACTAATGTTCTTTAAGCCCTTACTATTCAAAGTGCGGTCCATGGTCCAGGAGCCCTGGCATCATTGGAAAGTTTATTAGAAATGCAAAACCTAAGGACCCATCCCAGACCTACTGAGTCAGAACCAGCAGTTTAACAAGGTCCCCAGAGGATGAAGCACTGCTTTGAGCCACTACTGTCCAGTTCCCACCGCCACTAACCACACCAAAACCAAGGCTGTCCATACAAATCATCTTTACCCTGAGGATTTTCTATGACCTCCATCCACTTTCTCATGGAGTCTCAGGAGAATGTTCTGCCCTGCCCTGGAGAGGCAGCACAGATGGCATTGAAGAGCTTTGCCTTCCCAATCAACACACCTGATTTTGAATCCTTTCCCTGCTATTTGCCACCTGTAGGACCCTCTGTAATCATTAAGTCATTATCCTAAGTCTTAGTCAAATGCTAACTCTTGGAGGAAAGAGCAAATAAAATAATGCTTATAAAGCATTTAGCCCTGGGGGATTAAGCACCCCCATTAAGTTAGCTTGAAAATAAGAGAGACATTTCTGACAGAGATCTCTGTAGCCTGCCTTACAAGATAATGTGAGGCCAGCAAGAAAGGAGATATAGAATCTCCCTGGCATGTTCCCAACATTAATTGCCTTTTCAGTCAGAGAGGGCATCTTTTGTTAAAAGCAAATTTGGTCACTGAATGCCCTTGCACAGCATTGCTCTGTGAAAGAAAACAAGCCTTTCAAGGAATGGGACAAATTAAACACAACATTATGATCAGGAGAGTAACCAAATAGTTACCATTTTCAAGCACTTGCCGACACATTATATACAATATTTTATTATTTCCACAATAACCCAGTAGAGGAAAGGATTACTAGCCCTCTCATGATGGTGATTAAAGGAAACAAGAAAACAGCCTCCTAGGCACAGGCTGGGATCACAATTGGGTTCAGGTCATTGGGGACAAACAGGTTAAATGTGACAGTTCCCCTCTCCATGCACAGAAACATTGCTGGGGGGATACCCATGAGACACCCAGGATCTGAAACAAAGGAGGTACACTGCAGGGAATGTAGCTGGTTGGTGACCACGGAGATGAAGTTTCCTGAGCTACTCGTGGGAGGCAAGAATGACAGCCTGGGAGGGTCCCTTTGCTCATCACTGGCTAGCCTATTACTATTTACTGTGAAGCCAAGTCACTGAGCAAGATGGTTCACATTTCCCTGGCCAGGACCCAAGTCCCCAGGCAAGATCTGGGAGAGAACTCGAGGATGGGGAGGCACCTCCCCAAACAGGAGTTAATGGGCACAACCTAGATACTGCCTAGGGCATAAACAGTCCTCAGCAAATTCAAACATCATCATCTTTTTGTTGTTGTTGTTGTTGTTATCATTAATCTACAATTACATGAAGAACATAATGTTTACTAGGCTCCCCCCTTCACCAAGTCCCCCCCACCACATACCCCTTCACAGTCACTGTCCGTCAGCGTAGTAAGACATCATCATCTTTTTATACCCTGTTTTTCTACCTCCAAATGCAAGGACTGCTAATGGAAGGAGAGAGGAGCAAGAATGAGTGTTTCTCTCCTTGGCTTCTGGAGATCACATCTCTCCTGTGTCACCAGAAAGACACCAGGGACATTCGGTCCAGGATCTGTCACCAACTCAGGAGTGCCTTAGTTTCCTCTTCTGTAATTAGCTTGTAATTATATACAGTATCTTTCAGTCCCCTCTGGCTTGCGTTCTCTGATCTTGCCTACTGGGGGTAGCCAGGGGAGCTAGGGAGACCTCATCCCAGGAGCTCTTCAAAATAGGAACAGTCACACTTTGTAGGTTTAAGCAACAGGATTCCTTCCTATACCAAGCTGCTGTGTTTTTGACATCCTCTAGGCTGAAGTCAGGAAAACGAAAGCTTCCCAGTCACAAACATAGGCCTCCCCTGACATCCATATAAATTAGGTCCTCTTCCAAGATGGTGTTTCCTATGACCTTACAACTCACAGAGGGTTCTCTGGGCCTGGAGCCTCTGCATCGCCTGGGAGCTTGTCTGAAGTGCAGATTCCCAGGCTCCTCCAAAACTTGCTGAATCACACCTTGCATTTTAACAAGCTCCCCAGGTGATGTGTACACACATCAAAGTTCAAGAAGTACTATCTTGAAACACTGTGACTCCTTTCCTTCATAGATCTCACAACAACTTGTAATTCTAATGATATATTTGTACGTGTATTTTAAGTGGCTGCTTTAAAGACTGAGCCATAAGATCCACAGGATGTCTTCTAATGACTAACACAGTGCCTGGCACATACCTGCTGTCCATTCAACATGTGTTGAACGTAGGATTCTCTGGAATTTCCCTGACTTTCAGTGGCCACTGGGATGGCTCCCTGCTTCTGCTGTTCTAGCATTCTCTCTGTCCCTGGATACTTTCCTAGGCAGCCAACGAATTCGAGGCTCTTGGCACCACCTTTAAACATAGATCTTTTTCTTTGCACATTTGCACATCACACTCATCAATGAGGATGCTTGGCAGTAAATTAGGTGTTCATTAAATTTTGAAATGCTGTTTGATGTCTCACAGAGGCAATACGGAGGCAAATTCAGTGATGTCAGGTTTTCCTATGAACTGCGTGTATAATTAAGAGACCAGAAATGTACGGCATCGTGAGTTAGGCTAAAAGCTTTCAACTAAAACAATAAAACTGTAGAATATTAGAGTAAAGATGCAAGGACCTTCCAAGCCAAGTTCCCTACTTTTCCCCTGAAAAGCTGCAGCCCAGAAGTTCTTCCTTCCACCATCCCCAGAGCAGAGCTCCGCCAGGGTTCTGCTTCAGGAGACTTTGGCCATTACCATCCCCTCAGGTTGGAGAAGAGAGTCATTCATCAGAAAATGAGTCTTCAGGGAAGGCAGGGACAGAGCTTCTATGGAAATGGTAGAATAAAAGAAGAACTCCAGATGGTTCTAGGTGTTTGTACAGAGCACTTAAGAAGATAAGATGTGGGCATCTGCTAACTGCTGGCTGTGGTAAAGGCTAGGAAATTGTTCTCATCCATGTAAACGCTCACACCTCCCTAGGTCTTCACTAATATTTCAACCCAATGCACTACAGGAGACCCCAACCTGGACAGGTCAAAAGGTGAATGAGACATGTTATTCCTTGCTGGCAGGATGCCTGAGGGGTGTTGCCGTGGCTGAGGTGGGGAGAAGGGGAAGGGAGACTAGGTGGTGGGGGGGTTAGTCTCTGAGGAACTTGTGAGGCTTGAAGAACTGTGCCATCAGCTCCTGTGGCCTACTTGCTCAGACTGTCTCAACAAGACCCCCCCAACCCCTCCAAGCCCCCAGCCTTGGTGTCCCCCCTTGAGAACACAGTCTGCTTCTAACAACCTTTTACTTATTTGTGTAAATATTTATATATATCTATGTTTATTATAGAATAAATAATATAAACTATAATGTGAGTATATAAATATATATGTGTGTTTATTTAGGTTAAATATTTATAAATGTTTGAATATCATATTCAAATATAAACTTGTAATAAGTCCCGCAGGCAAAGATCCCCGCTAATTACTTACATGCTTGGCATGTAAACATTCATTTAGTTCAGACTTTCCGACCACAAGAGAGAGAGAAACGCACCTTCCCAAGTATGTTTACAACATACTTTCACAGTCTGATGAATCAAACGTGGAAAAAAACCCCACATGTCTTTATTAACATTACACTTGATTGTTCTTACATGGACCAAAGACAGGGGAGGGATAACACACGAGGAGGCAGAGAAAAAGACGCTGGGCCGGTAGCTCAGAGCTGCAGATTCTGGTCCCTGAGCTGCCCTGATCTTTCCTTCTTACTCTCAGCTCCTGTTTCTTCACCTGGGAAATGTGGGTGGTGATCCTCCAGTTGCATTTCTGAGAAGCAGGTCGTCAAGCAAATGGATGAGAAAACCTGCTGTAAACTAAGTCAGGGAGTCAACTTGGTAAAGTTTAAGACTCAGACGGAATATGAATTTTGAATTGCACATCAAAATGGAAAAGAAAAAGATTGTTTCCATTGGAAGTCATCCTCACACCGCTTTTTCCCTTTCTTCTCTTCCAGGACTCCATTCCCAACCCGCCGGGCAAATTTCCCCTTAAAGGAGGTAAGACCTTGGAATTCGGAGCAAATGTGTTGTGAGTCATCCATGTCACGCCATAGTTGCTTAACAGCCAGAAACCTCAGGGCCCAACAGAAGAATGGGTTGAGGCAGAGGTGGGGGCTGCTCAGGGCCGAGCTGGTGCGTCTTGAGCCATCTGAACAGCCTGTGATCCACTCTCAACTCTCCTGTTAATGAGAATTCTACCCCCACATAAGCTGTCTTATGGACAAAGGCAGGCAGAGCGGTGTTGTGTTAAGAGCTTGAAATGTGCAGTCAGGCAAATGTGGGTATGAATCTTAGCTCTACATCCCACCTGGGAGCCTCAGTTCCTCATCTATAAAATGGGAATAATGATATTGGCCTCATGAAGGTATCAGAGGAGCCAGTCAGACTGCATCTGTCGGTTGCTTGGCATGGCGACCAGCACATAGCCATCATTAAATAATTGGTAGTAGTCAAAATGCATGATGAAGCCAAGGGCTTGTGCAAACAGACCTTCTTACCCCCCATTTCCTACCACTGAAGTCATGAATTAATGCATTGTCTCTCCCAGTCCCAGAGGGTGGATGTCCCAAGTTAAGTTAACATTGAAGATGAAAGTTTGAGATCATCTGGTGAATGTGTTCATTGCCCAGAGGAGGAAAAGAAAGACACAGGGAAATGTCATGTCCACTGTCACATGGAGCCGAACCTAGAATCCAGTTGCCCTCATCTCTGATCCAATGTTCTTTCCACCTAAGAACATTAACCTTACATACCCTGTAACCTTCAGAACTTAAGATAGCAAGCACAACTAGATAACCAAAGAGCTCAGAAAAAAAGTAAAAGAGAAGGGGTGGGTCATCATAGACACCCAGGAAGAGACAGCAGGGCATCCCAGGGACCAGAGGACACAAGTATCCGGACACAGCCCTCACCCCAACAGCATCACGCTTGGTGCTTCCTTCAGGATCCCCTTGGCCACGCCTTTCCTACCCTCTGTCACCTACAGACTTAGAAAGTAAGAGCAAAAGGCCCCAAACAGACAAGGATTCTGGATCTTTCAAGGCGGACTAATAACTACAGCTTTGGCAATAATACCTTAACCTTGGCTGGAATTACTTAGCATGTGAGCTCATTTCCCATAATGCCTCTGTAAACAGTCAATGTTAATGTAAAGAGGAGCATGGTATAACCTTTCTATAAAGGGCCAGATAGTAAACAGTCAGGCTTTGCAGGTCATGAGGTCTCCTGTTGCCACTCAACTTTGCTGTTGTAGTGCAGAAGCAGCCATAGACGGTGCAAACGAGCGGGCATGGCTGTGGGTCTCTCAGACATTATTTGCAGAATGAGGCTGGGGACAGAGTTTGTGTATCCCTGTCATGAAGAAGGACAGGCTTTGAAGTCAGAACATGTAACACATGTTCTCATGCAGCCTTGCAAAAAACCAAACACACGGAGCAAATGTCATTTTCCCTTCCCCATGTTTCCCCATTCCACCACTACATCCACCCAGATTTTCCAAGTAAGACCAGAAGTTTTCATTTTTTGAGAGGGGGAGATGACCGTCCACAGGAACACGATCTCAATGACCAGGACGGTGGTGATTAGGCAAAGTGATCTCTGACGTTCTGGATTCTAGTTTGTGTGTCTATAGAGCTCCTCCATTGTCAGTCACCAAGCACAGGGGCTCCAACTAGTGGCTGTGTCCCTATAACAGATTTTCAACCATCCAGAGCAGCATAGAAAAAAGGACAAGGTGGCCCCTGTTTTCCATAGCTGATTACTTATTTTTATTGAAGTATCACTGATATACCATCTTATGTTGGTATCAGATGTACAACACAGTGGTTGAACAGTGACCCACATTGTTAAATCCTCACCCCCTCTGGTGTGATTACTATCTATCAACATAGAAAGAAGTTACAGCATCACTGACTATATTCTCCAGGCTGTAGTACCATCCCCATGACCAGCTTATATGATGATTGGGAATTATTGTGCCCCTTTATCCCCTTCCCACCCCCACCCTCTCAGTCCCTCCCCCTTGGTAACCACTAGTCCCTTCTCAGTGTCTATGAGTCTACTGCTGTTTTGTTCCTTCTGTTTCACTTTGTTCTTATACTCCACAAATAAGTGAACTCATATAATTTATCTACCACTACCCGCATAGCCAGCTATTTTTAATGCACTCCTTTCCTCTAACAATATGCCCTTTCCTAAAAAAGAAAAAGTCCGTTCTTTAATAACGTGAGATCGGGAGTTAAGTTGGTTTGCATTCAGTCTGAGTTATTTTGTTTGAGTTGCCCCAATAGGCAAAAAATCAAAAACTGCCCACTCTATATGGGTCACTGAACTTTCATCTTGTGGTAAAGCTATTTGGCCCATGAAATCCAAAATTGTGGTAGCCATGGACCAGATCACTCATCCAACCCCTTCTTATCTTGGCCATCACTGTGAACACCAGAACATAAACTAATCCAAGACAGCCCCAGTTTACAATCCAATGATTCTGCAAACAGGTTTTAAAATGCTAATAATAATACCCACTAGGGCTATGAAACTCCTGTTAAAGACCTTCCCAGACCTCCCTGGGGTCGATCTTAGCCTCAATCCCATGGTGAGCAATGTGGGAATTAAAGCATTCCCATCATTGTAGAGGAGAAGCTAAGGCCTAAGCAATCAAGGTGACTGCCTAAGGTCATCCAAGGAGATGATGGCAGAGCAAGGATGAGAATCCATGACTCCTCTCTGTCCCCCTGGGTGATAGGCTTCGGACATGAAGTGTTAGTGACCTGCCATATGTGGTCCCTGGCTCTCTCCTACTTTTAATGCAAGTCTACATGTTTCTTGACTTGGCAAACGGCAGGCACCGTCGTAGGGTGAAGTGGAAAGAATATTACCTTGGAGCAAGACCTGGGCTCCAGAACTGCCCTTTACCCCAGCAGGCTGTTTCTCTGGGCAAGTCTTACCCCCTCTCTGAGCTTCATCTGTAACAGAACAGCCATTTTTACTAAATGACCTGGAAGTGTCCTTCCATGTTGATACTTTATGATAGTCTAATTCTCTTATTCAACTATAAATACAGAAGAAAAGAGCCTCTAACAATAATCTTGAGGAAATCTATAGCCACCGCTTCCTTCCCCAAGCCCCCCTTCACCTGGCACAAGCAGCAAATTGGTCCTTTTGAGAAGCCATTGCAAGACATTCGGACACATGGGAATCATCTCCCAGAAACTCCTAGAAGGAAGCTCCAGGGGCCAAGGTGGTTTGTCACTGGGGCAGACCAAGGAGGGAGCCAGGTGCTTTCCAGAAAGCCCTCTGCCACCAGCTGATGGAAACCGTCCATCACCAGCAGGAAGCCAGCCACAGCCCAGAGCCGGGGGAGCAGGGCCATGTACCCGCATTAAAGCAGCTCAACACAGGAGGGTCCTTAGCTGCAGGGGACCTGCAGACCAGCAAGCCTTTTTTGTAATGAAAGTTCTGAGCCCCCAGTACAAGCTTCCTGTTCCCTCCCAGGGGACAGGTCAAAGCAGACGGCCACCTCACGCTCCCTCCATTGAGCTTAGGGCTCGGTGGGCCATTTGGGAGTTCAGCCGGGACTGTGGGCCGGGAGGAGCCTGGGGAGTAGCACCTTTCACCATGCCCTTCTCCTCTCATCTAGAAAATGGAGTTAATAAGGACTCCAGCACAGAGCCACCACAAGGGTCAAATGGGACAGCAAGTACTGCCCCTGCCAGCCACCAGGCTGAGCCCGTGCCCTTCGGACACAGGCTTCACTCTGTTCTTCCACCCCATTCCATCCCACATGCAGCAAGGAACCAAGGAGGGATCTGGGGAGAGCAAGGCTTGGGCATCTTCTCCTCACTTCTCGATCCAATTTTCTGTTTCCACCACATTTTGAGTCTCATGTATGCTTTAGTTACGTGGCCTTATTTGCCCGAAACACAGGGTACAGACCCCTTCGCCTTGACTTCCCAATTTCAAATAGCAACCCGCCTTGGTGGACGGCAAAGTTGACAGCAGGATTTTAGGCTACGTCAGGAGGCTGGCAGGACAGTCACTCCACCATGGAGGATGCTGCAAATTGGGGGTTGACCTCTCTGTTCCTGGAAGGCTTCTGCAGCTCCAGCCACTGGGGATTTCTTGAGGGACAGGTCTCCTCACTGGGGTTCAGCCCTCTGCCACATGTACTAATGCCCTCTCCCTCCTACCTGTTCTTATGTCCATCCTTCCCCATTTTCACCCCCTGCACACACACTTTCTTTCACAAACTGCAGAGATTCAAATTCTGCTGCTTGTATTTTGTGTATTTTGCAGACTGATCTTGATCACCTTGGTCTCGGCCCCAGGCCTTCCCAACATCCCAGCAACCAAATAACAGTCCTTCCCTGCACTGGAAGGATTCTGTAGACAAGTTTTAAATCCGTTTTCCCTTTATTCCCTCACTACCTATGTATGAGGATCTGGCAGAAGGGAAATAATGAACATAGACGGGGCATTCACCATGTGCCAAACCCTGGGCTGAGTGCATCCTCACAACAAGCCTCAAGGATAACTATCGTTCCTATTCTACAGGGATGGAAATGGAGCACAGAGAGGTTTATTGACTTGCCTAAGATTGCACAGGAGCGGGGCAAGACCTCAAAATCTGAGCTGACCACTTTGGAGCCCTTTTGCTTAACCAGGATGGTATCGCCAGATGCTTAGTAAAACATGGCTGGGCTCCCGTTTGGTGCTCCTACCGCCTCTCCAGGCTAGGAACCCTTCCAGAGCTCTCTGGTGCTCCTCAGCACCTGCTCCTGCAGCTGCTTGTTTTGCTGCTGAGGCGTGCTCTCTGTTTATCAAGACCTGGGACAGAGAGAGCCCCTAGGGCGAGCACCCTCACAGGTCTGCATTGAAGGCAGAGTGGTGGGGAGCATGAACAGCCCACGGCAGATCTAAAGGCCAAATTAAGCCGTAGCTTTGCAGCTAAGGAGCCATGATCCTGGCTGACTCCTCGCCTCCCGACAGCCTCCGCTTAG